TAACATTACATAACATAACATTACATAACATAACATTACATAACATAACATTACATTACATTACATTACATACATACATACATATTAATACATATATATATATATATGTATATATGTACACATGCATGCATGCATGCATACATGCATGCATTACATTACATTACATTACATTACATTACATTACATTACATTACATTACATTACATTACATTACATTACATTACATTACATTACATTACATTACATTACATTACATTACATTACATTACATTACATACATACATATTAATACATATATATATATATGTATATATGTACACATGCATGCATGCATGCATACATGCATGCATTACATTACAATACATTACATTACATTACAATACATTACATATACTTAAAGACCCATTAAATACTTATACCCACCCTAAAAGTAGATGACTCAACTCGAAAACCAAAATACCCATAAGATGGCATCGCGGGGTGAGAAAGAAAACGGCGCTATTTTAGCTGGAACATAAAACGAGTTCCGCCAGTTGAAGGAAAAAACCGCCCTACTTTAAAATGAAAAGGTAGATGGCGCAACTGCCACTCCAGTAGATGGACATAACTTGGGATAACTCTGATGTCTTTCCTGGTGGTTTTGCCTCCTGTCTTGGGATAACTCTGATCGATGTGGCATATTTTGGTTAGGTTGGTTGATGGATGTCGGGAGATATGAGGGAGTTGCGCCATCTATGTGGGCATTCCCAGCCTGATTTTGGCGAATGAGTGGGAGTTGCGCCATCTATGTCCCTAAAAATGACATATTTTTTGCCATCTTCTGCGCTCTGGCAATTTGCCACTTTGCTTGGCCCCGGAAAACGGGCCCCACCAAGTCCCCCGAAAAAGAACTTTTTCCTGAGTTTCCCAAAAGGAAACTTGACACTTGGTGGGGTCCGTTTTCTGGGGCGAACCCAAGTGGAGAATTGGCACTGCGCTGGTTTCTCCCCCCATTTTTTTCTCACCATCAAGCTGCCTTCTTGGGACATAGATGGAGCAACTCGTGGAGTTGAGCCATCTATGTCCCAAAAAGGCAGCTTGATGTTGAGAAAAAAATATGGGGAGAAACCAGCGCAGAAGATTGCAAAAAATATGTCATTTTTAGGGACATAGATGGCTCAACTAACCTGTTTTAAAGGGAGTTGAGCCATCTATCCCCCATTTTTTTGACATAGATGGCGCAACTCAAGATTCTGAGCCATCTACTTTTAGGGCGGAGTAGTTAGAACTTATAGTCAAATACTCTGATATTATACCATTCCTTATATTTACTGGTTAGTGGTTTCAACCCCTCTGAAAAATATGGAAGTCAGTTGCGATGATGAAATTCCCAATATATGGAAAGTCATAAAAGTCCATGGTTCCAAACCACCAATCAGTAATTATCTTATAATTATTGATGAGTCTGATGAGTAATTTCATCTAAGATTCTTTGTCCCAACCCACGTCTTCAAGGGTCAAGTTTAGGCCATTTTCCATAGCTATGTTAAATTTTCAATAAGTAATCAATGCCATAGCTACAGTCAACTTGGTATCTTGTAGTCAAATACTTGGTTTCTCACTTAGATACACCATTCCTTATATTTATCTTTATGAGTCATAAGTCGAGATCACCCACCACGCCAAGCTGCGTCCGCTTTGCTGGACCACACGTCCGCCACAGAGGACGCCAAGACGCCCAACCCCCCACGACCCATCTCCTGGAGCTTCACCGGGAATGGGGGATTTGATGATGTTTCTTGTGGTAAAAAAACATATTGGGATTACATAGGATTTCATGGGATTTTAATGGATTTCATGGGATTTTAATGGATTTCATGGGATTTTAATGGATTTCCATGGGATTTTATTGGATTTCCATGGGATTTTATTGGATTTCCATGGGATTTTAGTGGATTTCCATGGGATTTTAGTGGATTTCCATGGGATTTCATCATGAGATTTACTGATGTTTTTCTGAGCCAAACTGATTGCAAAATTGGGATTCCCATGAATTTCAAGGAATTTCATGAGCTAAAATGGGGATTTGTAATACTCATGATTCCCCATGTTGGAGACTGCCTCAACCAACCACCATCAACCCGCTTTACGGGTCTGCAGATGCTGCACGAGTTGGTCAATTCACCTTCAGGGGGATGAAAGACCCCCTGAATGTCACAGTGCAAAAAGTGATGTTTAACTGTTTAACATGCCCAAATGAGGACATCTATCAACCACAATCAATGTTGATCACTTAAATCTAGTTTTTGCTAGGAAAAACACACTCAACCTCTGTTTTGAACATATGAATGATCTGGGAAAGAGGCTATTTGAGGGCCCAAGAGCTTCCAGAGGGGGTCAGTGGTAGTCTCTAGACTCCAGATAATACTTCCCCCTGGATGGACCCTCATCATGACATCCACGTGGCCAGTTGGGCACTGAAAGCTCCAATGATGGGATCTGGGCTCTCTACAATGTGGCAGTTGACAGATTGCAGTTCGAAATTGCTGCTTTTGCACAATTTGTTGGGCCAATACATCTTCGACCCCTCCATTTCTTGGCCCTTGGGCTGCAGGCATCAGCTTCGTGATGACTTGGCCTTTGTCATCTTTGACCAGCACGCAACCTGATGATTTATCTGTGGTGACAGTCATCATCGGGGGTTGCATTTCAGGCTGCAGGTCATCCCCACCATCGTCTCTATTGTTATTTTCCCATGGGACCCACATTGGAAAGGTGGAACCTCTCATGCCCTGCCCTGTGTGGCATGAGTGCTTTGACAGGTCTTCATCTCGGATCTGTCGATGACTCCGGGAACATTTCGAGAACAAACATGCTACACCGAAGCATGAATATTTTTATTGCAAACTCAAAAAAAGAGACCCCAAATATTTGAGAAACGTGTGATTTAGGGATGCCACTTCAGGGTATGCCGGTATACTGTTATACTCCATTTTTTGGACAAAACCATTTCCATATATATATATATATATGTGTATATCTGTTCTCCATCGACTACATCCCGAGTGTTGATGATTCAAACACCATTTGCCAAACAATCACGGTTTTTCGAGGTTCAACCACATTGTTCACCACCCTTGAATTGATTAAACCATGTTAAACCCCTATTTTTTCATATCTGCGACAAAAACGGCAGATGTTTCACGTCGTTGCCACCCCTCCTCTTTGAAGTCATCACCACAGACCTGGCAATCCAAACGCCTCAGGGATACCTCTATGGTGGTTACCTTTATGGTCAATCTCTTGGTTCATCATGGGGGTATAACCCACAGGGGATGATCAATGGATGATTAATTGATGTGGGAAAGCCTGCCATAAACCTACCATTTTTTTATGCAGATGGCAATATACATAACACCCATATCCACCCATAAACAACTGATGATTTTGAGAATGCTTTATGGCGGTTTACCACATTGTCACCATGGTGAAATAATTGAAATACCCGCCCCCCGGCATGTCTGTTGGGATATAAATCCTGTAAGTATTATTGGACTGTTAGACCCTTTGGTAATCAGACATGGCAATTGAACATCACCGAACTAAATGGAGGTTTTGATGAGGAAATCATCTATAAACAAGGGATTTTCCAGCCAACCAGGCTTAATGACACCGGACGGTGTCTGAAGATGTTCCAAGTACCACTGTTGATGGGTGAACAAAAATGAGTAATATGATGTTTTTCCCTAACATAAACGGCAATGGAATTCATGTTAAAAACACATCTGCGGACGGGTCAAAAGTTACTGATGGACTGAAATTGTATGGTTTCATACATGCAATGGCCACATCTATTGCTGCTCTTGTACCCTTGTTCGAACCAACACAATATTCCATGCCTAGGTTTTCCTAGATTTTCGAACAAACCCATATAACTATACCCCATTCACCCAATCACGAACCATTTGCATATTTGATCATATTTGACCTACTCCAGAAAGGGGTCAAATTCCACAAAGCCACCTAATCAAGATCCAGGATGAAAAGAAACCATGTGGGCACGGGTCAAAATTACTAATCCCAATTCTGTAGCTCCAGCTACCTGTATTTTTTCCAACACTCAAGGTTTAGCTAGACTCTGGAACAAATAAAACCTGGTTGGTGGTTTTAACCATCTTGAAACATATATTAGTCAATGGGAAGGATTATCCCATATACTATGGAAAATAAAAAAATGTTTGAAACCACCAACCAGAAACTATATACCTAACAACCACATACAACCACAACTGGGTATGGGTCAAAAGCCTGGTACTTTACTCAACCAGCTGCCTAGCTGGTTTGTCTGGAAGCTCATCCCCATAGAGGTCAATTTTTAATGTGTATTACTAGAACTAATAACTACAATGACTACAATGTCATAACTACACTACAACTAATACATTAATACCTTATATATACAGTACCTTATAAATCCTTATCATACACCGTATCCCTGCAAAACGGACAAACTCTCTGCCACATCCCTGGGTTTTTTCCGCTTCACTGGGCCGCTTTCTCCCGGTAGCACTTCTCACAGACGTTGAAGTCGCAGTGATGGAAGCAGCGCCAGCGGGTCTCGTGGCGTTGGATCTCGGAGCGGCAGAAATTGCAGAGCTTGGTCTCCCCTTGGAGGAAACTTTGGCGCCACGACATGCCCTCCTGGAGGAGTATCAGAAGTGCCCCAGAAAAATGGTGGTGGATTTTTTTTTTCATGGGAAGATATGGGATGAAGATATGGAACATCTGGGATGACTTGGAGATATTTTCAGATGGGAAACAGCTGATTGAAGCTAGGTTTCGCTTTTGTGGTGGAGAGTGATCTGATTTCTTTTTGGGGGATTCAACCATTAAACAAACAAAAACATGGATGTAACCCATGAAATACAAGATGGTGCACCATAGAATCATAGCTAAGTTGGTAAACAATGGCCAACATAACTCAAGTTTAACTGCTAGGTTTATAGTAGATCTATCCAACTAGTGAAGGGGTTATTCACCAACAAACATAACTGGGAGACGCCATGTATGGATCATGCTGCAGGACCCATTGCATCATTTTTGGATGGCCAATGACCACATGATACCCTCTGGTAATTCAACATAGCTATAGAAAATCACCATTTTTAATAGGTAAACCATCTATGAATGGGCCATGTTCCATAGCTATGTTAGTTTACCAAATGGTAATAATATCATAGTGATGTAACCACTGAGATTGATGGCACATCCCACACTTAGATGAATGGATACCCAACTGTACATGATGGAAGAAATCCTGCACCAGTTGGTACAGTACGGTGCCCCCCAAGTTATAAGTTGGTTTATAAACCATTATAACCTCCATTAACTATAGTTATACCTACCATAAACCATAGTTAAGCCACTTAAAAGGCAACCTAACGCTATCTTGGGGGCCCCATCCTGTAGATGGTTTTTACAAGTATAATCCCATTATTTACAGTGTTTCATACGCCTGCCTGGTGCAGGATTTCGCAACCATGCACTAACATCTGGGATTTTAAGTAACATTATGAAACATAATAAATCTATATTAACATCTAATGAGCCATATCCATAATAGATCTATGTATTTATATCCATAGAATATAGATTATATACATCATTCATATATATATAGTGTATATATATATATGTATAACCATAATGGATCTATATTAACATCTATTAAGCCATGGCTTAAAACATACACCACTTACGGCCAGGGCCATCCAAGTGGGATTATATTAGTCAGTTGGGATGATGAAATTCCCAACTGAATGGAAAAACCATGTTCCAAAGCACCAACCAGTGATTATTCTGTGGTTATTTTATGGGTATGTTAATGGCTACTAGTGGTCATCAATGGTTAAATATATATATATATATATATATACATATCTAATGTGTTTAAAACAATAATAAACCATCCCCCAGTCATCACCATTTCTATAGGTGGTATAAACCAAAATATGGATGGAGGTTTCTGTTTTGTCATGGGGGTACCCCCAGCTATCATCCATTTATAGACGGTGTTTCCATATAAACCATCCATTTTAGGCTACCCACATTTATGGAAACCCCCATATTAATCCCAATATACCATAATCTATGTACAGTTATATGTGCGAACAACAAGCAACATCTTTTACTGCGAGTCACCACCTTGCAACAGTTCAACACTACCCCTTACCTTTCTGGTGAGTAGTACCAAGGCATACGTATTCCTTGGGAATGGATTCCAGGCAAAATCATAATGCCCATCACTTTCGAAGGTTGAATGATGTTAAACCCATGATGTCTGATTGCTTCATTGCTTCCGGGGGTCCCTTCCCATTTTTTTATTCTTATCACTATAATACTATAACTATCTATAACTACTATCCGATGATCATCATGATAATTACACATACTTACCATGATTGTCCCATGATCTCATGATTCTCCCAATACCATCCCATCATTACCTGGGTTAAAATATTAAACATCATGATATAACCACAATTCATCCACCATAAATCTGGGTAAACAAACAAAAAACATATTTCACTCACCTGATTCTTTTGTCCGCACCACTTCTCTTGACCCCCGGCCATACCTGAATTCTTGGGCCATTTGGGGATGATTTCCCTAAAAGAAACCATGACTCATTGGTGGTATACCTACCCCCCTGAAAAATGATGAACTTCGTCAGTTGGGATGATTTTCCATTCCCAACTGAATGGAAAGTCATTCAAAATTCCATGGTTCCAGTCACCACCAGCCAGATGATCCCAGGCTTCGGGAGAACGACGGCTTTGGTCGAACCATGGCGCCCGCATTGTCCCGTGATTCCATGTTTCCCATGATTCCTTGTGGCCATTCAAAAAATGGCTGCCATGAATCATGTTATCCCATTTATAACCCATGAAACAAGCTCCAATTTATCACCATAAATTATGCCATGATCGTTCAATTATCTGGGTAAATTTCACAATATTAAATTTCACGTTCACCTGAATAGTTCGGCCATTTGGATTCATTTGGGGATGATTCCCCTTATTAATTAATCATGATGAACTAGGGCTGAGAACAGGCTTCGGTCGTTATGGCATTTACCCAGAATTATGCCGTTAACCACGTGCGATGTGTGGAATCCAGCCGCCCCGTCCTTCCGTTTATCAATAGGATGACCAGCAGGACACGCCAAACCGCCCACACCGCTCGCGCCGCCCTTGACGCCGGAAACAATCCAACCTTGGTCAGGGATTGGAGGGGGAAGGGGTTGATCTTGAGCAGATTAGATGCAATTAGTATTATTAAATATTATTAACCCCTTTGGAGTATTATTAACTAATAACATCAAATAATCATTGGAGGGGTAATCTTGAACATCAGATTAGATGAAATAGGCCATGGTTTATTTGATAAAAATAACAATGTGACAATGGCTTCTTAAATAAATAAATCCCGGAAGGGGTTGATCTTGAACAGATTAGATGCAATTAGTATTAGACAAACCCCTTTGGAGTATGAAGAGAAGTAAAAACATCAAATAATCATTGGAGGGGTAATCTTGAACATCAGATTAGATGAAATAGGCCATGATTTATTTGATTATAAAAATGTGACAATGGCCTCTTAAATAAATAAATCCCAATCAGATTAGATGAAATATGCCATGATTATTTAGTGTTATTAGTGGATTCATTTGATTAATTACTATTATCATGTATTATCCCATGATTATGGATGAATCAATTTCAGACTAATGGTTGTAATAATGGACAATCATAGGAGAATCACGGGATGATTTTACCTGGTCATCAGCTCCGGAAAATCACCGATGACGAGTTCGTTGATTTTCATTGATTTTCCCATCCAAACTACCATTGATCTGGGTAAATTATAATATTTCACCAACCTGAATTGTTGGGCCATTTGGGGATGATTTCCCTAAAATAAACCATGATTTCCAGTGAGGGAGAACAGTGAGGTCGTTATGGCATTTACCCAGATTGATATTTCGGGATTTTCACGGCCTGCAGAGACACCATGGAATTCTGAGGTCTCAGGCGTCACTCGAGTGACGAAAAAAAAAGCCATTTCTGGAAGTTGGGACTTCACCAGCAAGTGATCTGTGGAAAATGGGCATTTATATCTTCAAAAGTTGGGAATTTAGATGAAGCTAGATATTTATTCAGTTAGAACAGAACCAAAAAGGAAGGAATTTCAACATGCAAACATTTGGCATTCAGTTTGTCAACATGGAAATCTTCAAGAGTTGGGCTTCAAGACATGGGAGTCATCCAACAGGCAACCAGTTGCTTGGGCGCAAGCGCAAGCAAGCGTTGGTCAAATTGTGCCAAGATTTTCCACGTTGGTCAATAGATCATAATGGATCAAGAGGACGTTGGAAATACCCTCTGGTAAACTAGTATAACTAAGGGAAATCACCATGTTTTATGGATAAATCAACCATTTTCAATAGCTATGTTAGTTTACCAGAGGGTATTTGGAAAGAAATCATATCCATAGTCAGAATGTCTGGACTTGTGAACCCCCAGTGAATAGCATACGGATCGATGTGCAAAGGGGATTCCCTTTGTGGCACTATTTAGGCCAAAGTGTTGAGTTTATACCAACACTTATGGGGACAACCCCAACCCCAATACCTTTCTTTTATGGTGGGTTTCCTCATTAAAAAGGCCATGATATGGGGTAAAGTTAGGGAAATCGCTATGTTTCCTGGTTCAATCCCATGATTTCTGGCTGCTAATCCTCATTTTCGCGGTGCTGTGCCCCCGTGAAGTGTTCGTTGGTTTATTTTTTTATTAAAAAAACATTAACTACAGTAGAGGTATAGTAGTTCTATATATATATATATAATTATACATATCACACACTAGGTTTATTTGTCTTGCTTATAGCCCGCATGAACTACAGTAGAGCTAGTTTGATATATCTACCATATACCCAAATTTTTGTAGTTACAAACCAACTTTCCTGCTCAGTCAAGAAACTGGAGGCATCATCTTGCATCCCCATTACAATACACACTGTTGACGGTTGAAACCGAGAACCAAACACCATTAGTCTCGTTATATGGGGGTGATATCCATCAAATTCCATCAAAGATATTGAGATTATATTCCAACTGACCCCTATTAATAGTAGATGTCCATTCATATCCCATGTATTCCCATTGAACTCACCATGTTCCACCATGTTTCATGTTAAACCCACCATTTCCACCATTTTCATGATTTAACTTACCATGCGTCACCATTTTTCAGGGTCAAACTCATATTTTTTCTATATTTGATGATTGCAAATCCCACCATTTGATGGTTAGTAATAGTCAATTTCCCAAATCCCACCATTTGTTCATGCTTAAACTATGTTAAACTCCCCATTTTCACCCGTTTTTGTCCCATTTGTTTATGATTATCTTAGATAAGTCAGCTATGAAGTTGAATAACTACTTAGGTGCTATATAGGCTATATAGGCTATCTCAATTTAGTAACCCATATGGAGGTTTCCAAAGTCATGGGGGTACCCAGAGTTCTTATCCATGTTTAGATAATGTCAATCCTGGATTAATAAACCTCTAGGCTGTTTAATCTTAAGTATCAGATGAAATGACTATTGGAGGAGTACCCCCCTAGTTAATAAAACATGGTTTAGTCTCATCCGGGGTTGACACAAACTACATCATTTTTGGTTTACATCAAGGGCCACCAACAATATCCACAATATCATCAACATATTGATGGTTCAGCAAAAACATCAAGTGCCAATGTTGAGCATGTTTGGGGAAGCTTCATAAACCATCCAGTCGTCATGGGGTACCCCCATGATGACTGGGACACTTCCATATTTTTAGAGCCCTTTGACGCCTCCAGCTTCAGCCTGGCACCGTCAACTCCCCATATCATCTACAAGGTGGTGCCCCCAAGATAGCTAAGTTGGTGAACATAACTCCAATTTCACCATGGTTTATAGGTGATACATCTATGGTTAATGGGCTTATAACAAATTCATAACTGGGGGGGCACCACCTTGTACAGTAAAAATCAAGAAACGGTGACTGGTTTGAAAGCATTCACGGGCACTTCTACCCATCTGGGCACATCTGAGGCAATCATGTCACAAACCTGTTAACTAACTGGTTGGTGGTTTTAACCATCTTGAAAAATATGAGTTCGTCAATGGGAAGGATTATCCCATATATTATGGAGCATAAAAAATGTTTGAAACCACCAACCAGCTATAGTTCAACTGCCCCATGTTTCACCCGAAAAATGCTGGTGCCAAGGCACCGTCTTCGACCTTGGCGTTCTCCAAATCCCAGAGCGCCGCGGTGAGGCCGGCGACCACGCTCTGGGTGCCGCGGGGAGCATAGCCTCGGTTTTTTTTGGGAGGCGGTTGAAGTGATGATTTTTTTAGGGGATACACGACTGGGATAGAAATGGGATTTAATGGGATTTAATAGGGATTACATGGGGATTTCAATGAAGTTTGGATGGGTTTCTATGATGATTTAGATTGTGATGTTGATTTAATGAGATTTCATGGGGGTTTAATTCGATTTGATCGGGATTGGTGAACACCGATTGGCCAACTGGTTGGATATCAAAGGGATTTAATGGAGAATTAAACATCACTTATAGGTGCTTTAACAATCAAGCATATGGCTGGGTAAATTAGAAAATATTTCACGTTCACCTGAATTCTTGGGCCATTTTGGGATGATTTCCCTAAAATAAAATATGATTTCCAGTGAGGGAGAACAGGGTTCGGTCGTTATAATTTGCCCTTTTCATGATTGCGGAGAGTCCAGACCCGACTCACATGTGGAGCCTGGCTCGCATGACAAAGAATTCGTGCACGGTGCACGTCGATCGACATCGTCAAGTTGCGAACTGAAGAATTGGATGAGGATTCTTGCGCCATTTACGGACATCTCTATAGGCTTTGTGTGTCTGAGTAGACATTTTTTGCCATCCCTTTGCAAGCTCAAGAGTGATTGCTTTCAGGGTTCTATCATTGGGGTACAAATTAACCTCCGGGAAAAAGTCAAAAGCTGGCCCTTTGTGCTGAGCAAGATATGTGTGAAGGATATCCAGAACCTGCGTCTGCATGGGAATCTGTGGTCTCCAACTGAATCCATAGGAGAAAATGGAAGCACCTTGTGTGTACAAGCTGTTCACCAACTGCCTAGGAATAGGCGGCCATACTTCTGAAGAAATTAATTCTTCAAGCTGTTTGTATAAGATCGAGAAGAGGTTTGCCACTTCCGAAAGTTTCACGTTATGTGCTCGCACCTCTGTCAGTGAATGGAACACCAGTAATCTTTCGATACCATGGTTATCTTTGCGTTTCACTGGCAGATACAAGTTGGTATATAGCATGAAGCTGAGGGAAAGCTCGATCCAAGTAATGCCTAGGTTTTGTTGCTGTCCACATCTGGGTGAGTGGGCCATCTGACCTCATCCATCCAGTGCAGCATGCATTTGGCAAGGGTGTGGCCCCAAGCACAGTCTTGCATCCTATATGCATGGGTATCAGCTCCCGTTTCCAAGGACAGCTAACAGTGTAAGCTGCAAGGCGTTCTTTCACTGCTCGTCTGGAGGGTTCTGGTAATGTCTCCACTTCAGTATCCTTCACTGCTTTGGACAACTCCGCCCGGATGCGGTGGGAATCCAAGTAAAATTTATAAAGAATTCTGAGATGAAAACGAAACTGCTGAACCTCTTCATGTGTCTGCTGGATTTGTCTGGCTAGTTCTGGAAAAAGGTATTTACACCCTGCAATACCCGAGTCGTTGGCCATTTTGTTACCAAGTCGGTGATAAAGTTCATCATCTGCGACCAATTCAGATTCTGCATGGGCTTTGACCTTATGAAACTGTCTATTTCCATACTGGAGACATGGCCGCAACCGCAAAATAAGATCAAAGTCATCGTCATTCTGAAATGTGATAATGGGGTCTCCCCGTAAACAGCGGTGGGTTATACTTAAGGCAGTAGTTGAGTCAGAGTAAACATTAGTGTTGGAGAACCTCTCACACAAGTATACAATGGCTGCAAGTTCTGCTCTATGTATTCTGGGGTCCCCTTGGGTGCGTGTAACGACCAAAACGCTCAGCGCTGGGGGCATGAGTCCAGTTTCCCTGAAAATTTTGGCTTGGGTCAGTCGCTCACCAGGAGACCGGCTGGTGTCAAGAACAATGGCATGTGCTGCGGCTCTTGTGGATATACTACTTGGAAACATGCATGATCCATCTGTGTAAAACGTGAGCTGGTATCCTTGCATATCCAATGCCTGCAATGGTCTATATGTGTCTGGGTCAATGTCTGGGTCTGGCATCAAGTGGAGACTGGTTTGGATCCACTCTGCATTCCCATGCTGGTGAACCACTGGAAGTTCATGTGCAAGTGACCCCATCTCTTCAAGCCATGCAAGACTTTGGTGTCTTCCTGCTGGCAAAATGTGCATTCTGCAGTGACTGACGGATCCCATGTGGCCTGTTGCTGTGCGGTTTGATAGGCCGAGGCAATCTCATTGATCAATTGCTTTTGTTCTTGAGGATTGAAAGTGGCCAAAATTTGTGTGGTGTCTGATCTGGCTATTGGAGGCAGGCCTCGTAGGCTTTTGCGATCAGAGAACCGTTGGAGTAGATCATATTGCCAGGCTTGGCTAGCATATTTTTTGATGAGTTGAAAACTATCATGGATTAGAGACAATTGAACAAAGTGACCTACCTGGATAAAACCCTTGGAATTAACAGTCCAACCGAAGCGCAAGAGGTAATATCGAAGGACACTGGCTGGTCCTCTGCAATCAACATGTACACCATTGCTCTGTGCTGCAGTTTTCAAAAAGGATTGTGACACAGCAGCAGGTGCTCTGAGCAAAAAGCGTCTGGCAAGCTTTATGGCGTGCAAAATGACTTCAAGTTCGGGGTCCGTGATTTTGGGAAAACATGTGAAGGCTACAGCTGAGTTGCGGCTCACCGAAGTGCCCAGGATGGCTTCCACAATTTTGTTACGTAGCTTATCTGTATGGTTTTTACCCAAGGGAATCAACTCAGTGCCAAACAAGAATTTGCTATATATAGCAGCTTTGACCAAATGGATTTTGGTTTTCATGTCATGTGGCATGGTGTGGAGTGTCAGAACTCTCTGCTCAACATGGTGCAGTCTCTCTTTGAGTTTGCCCAGTCGGGGTGGTCCTCTGTATGTCAGCGGACTGCCGAGATCCATTTCATGCGTTAACTGCTTGACAACCTCAAGTCCTGCGTGTCTTTGTATGGATCTCTGGAGAGGGGGTAAATGATTGCGATGGGTTGCCCAAACCCAAGTTTTCCCCCAGTCGATCGACATCCCACAGAGGTGTACGTACTGGACTGTGGCATCTGCAATAGGGATGTGGTTATTGGACTGCTCTGTCGACCATCCCCAATTATCTGCGTATGCCCCAATGGACACATCCTGTGTCTGTGCACGGACGGAAAGGGTCCATCCATATGCTACTGCAAGCATGCAAACCACTGACATGGGGTCTCCTTCTGGGCAACCGTTGTTTGTTGGCACTGGCATGCTGGTGTGGTGGCCAATCGCCCAAACTCTTTGCAATTTGTCCTGGGATTGACTCCATTGGGTTAGGAGAGTAATTTCCATGCCCATTTTTCCCAGTATTTTTATGGGTATTTTCCTTTTGATAGTGTTGAAACACTTGCGTAGATCTAGGGAACACCCAGAGGTGGGTCTATGGTCCCGGATGGCTTGTTCCAATTGGTATTGAAACATGTAGCTTGCGTCAACGCAACCTCGTTGCGGTAGAAAACCGGTTATGTCATATGGAAGTTTTTGAGAAAGTTGGTCAAGTACTTTTCGGGTGATTATTTGGGACCAGAGTCTATAGAGTTGGCTAAGGACAGTAATTGGTCTTACCATGGATGGGTCTAAAGGGGTATCCGTTTTTGGTATGGCAAATGTTCTGGCGGTCATGAACCAAGCAGGAAAACCTTGTCTGTAGGAAAGCAGTATGTCTCGGATATCTGCAATGGCTTCGGATGGCAAGGTCTTGAGCTCGGCTGCACTGATGGTATCGATGCCTCTGGCAGAGTGAGGTTTCAATCGTCGGATGCCTTCCTTCCATGCATCAAGGTCGGTCAGCCCTGTTATGTTTAACACATTCTCTGGGACTAACTGCAGCAAGGCTCGGAGTTGCTCTTCATCTACCAGTGTTGGGTCTGGGATATTCCAGTAAGGTTGCCAAAATTGGTTGAGGCGTTCAACCATGTCTGATGGTGCAGTGACAACTTGTTCCTGAGCTAAATGCACTTCTTCCTCACAGGATGGGGGTGTCCCAATTGGCTTCACCTGAATGGAATGGTTATCTTGGTGGATTATTTGGTAGGGAAAACCGTTAATTTTGACTGGCTGCGTCTTTTGGAAGGATAGGGTGTCTTTTGTATAAACCAGTGCATCTGAATCGGCTGGGATTATAATGGCTTGTTTTTGGCACTGGAAGTGCAGAGATTGTACAGGTACGTAATTTTTGTTTTTGAGGTTGGCAAAAGCATGTTTATGCCCCAATTGGGCCGCATCTTGGTGTCTGAGGTACTGTGTCTTTTTTAACCAGGTTTGGCGGTCCTGGTACAAACATGCATCTGTATCATGTTTGGCAAATTGGTACATGGTTTGGATCATGCCCTGGGAAGGCAGGCTTATTGGAGGTGGTCCTATTTCAGGTATAGTCATACACCATCGAATGAAACTTCCCTCAAAAGCGGTGCATTTTAGACAAGATTTCCATTCTTGGATAAGAACAGTGATTTGTGCCGGGGACAAGTTATTTTTGCTAAGGCCTCTTCGGATTGAGAGGAGGCGTCTTACTTGTTTAATTTTGGCTAACCCACGGTGGGAATGGTGCACCTAGTCGGTCTCCTCTTCATCAACTGCTGCATCATCAACATCAGGTGCTATTTGCCCCCAGCTCTGCTCCTCCTGAGGCAAGTCCATGTGCACACCAACGCCTCCAACAGCATTTGCGCCGAACATCACGCTTTGCAGACCTGCGCAGATTGATGGTGTGCTGCTCCACGACTAAAAATCAATCTGCGTGCCTCCATGCGTGGGTATGAGAACTGCTTATCTTATACTATCCTTGAGAAATGCTGGTTGGTTGATGAGTGGTTGGCGGCGGCTAAACTAACCAATATATTGGGGATTGTCATAACCAATGGAATGACAACGGGTTTTGAACATTGCCAAGGTAAGTGAATGACCTATGGTTGATATTGGTTGATGGCTAGTACCCATTGTGGTCAAGGTACCAGCTCTTTTCGGGTCAATCAAAAAACTATCGTCGGATGTATCAACTTCTCAGCCTCGTCAGCCTCGCAAAGACTTAATCGAAATTTCTGAATGAAACCAAAAGATATTACATAGATTTACAGAGTCTTTGTGATGTGCTCTTTTCATCAGCTATGTTTAGAAAGTTTAGATTTGTCTTGTCTGCAGCTTTTCTTGCCGTTTTTGATAATTGCCCAAACATGCTCAACGTTGGCACTTGATGTTTTTGCTGAACCATCAATATGTTGATGATATTGTGGATATTGTTGGTGGCCCTTGATGTAAACCAAAAATGATGTAGTTAGTGTCAACCCCGGATTAAAACAACCATGTGTTATTAACTAGGGGGGTACTCCTCCAATAGTCATTTCATCTGATACTTAAGATTAAACAGCCTAGAGGTTTATTAATCCAGGATTAAAACAACCATGTTTTATTAACTAGGGGGGTACGCCTCCAACAGGAATGGTCCATGTAGAGTCCTGCTTGTCTTTGAACGGAAGACGCACCAAGGTCCAAAACATCGCAGGTTTCAGTTCAATAAACATCTCCAGATTCATGGACACTAATATTTCTGGGTAAATTAGTTACATCATAAATCATCCATTTGGGGGATTTTGGGGATTGATCTATTCCACTATATCAATCTATGGCTGCCATTATGGTTATCCCATTTATAACCCATGAAACAACCTCCAATTTATAACCATCTTAGCACGTTCACAACGCAGAACGCAAAACGTACGTTCCGGAACGCGTGTTCCGAACGCAGGGGTGTTTTAGTGGTTTTATGGATCCCAGAAGCGTCCGAATCCTTTTTTTTGCTCCCTGCAAAAAGGATCCGCTGTGTCACGCAGTATTTTTCAGAAAATGTTCAAAGTCTTCTTAGACCCCTGTTAATAGCACTACGATAAAATATGTGAGGGGTCAGAACCTTTTTCTTTCAGAGAAAAAAAGGACCCGGGAAGGAAACCTAACTTGCCCCACAAGCCTGGTGAGGCCAGAACCTTTTTTGCCTCACCCAAAAGGGATCCGGAGTTGGGAAGATCAACTTTCTGGTGGCTTCATACACAACTTTGAGCCCACAAGAGCTCCACATCCTTTTTTTTTAGTGGGGGAAAAGGGTTTCTCTGTTCAAACCCCGGAAATAAATTGACTTTATATCATTGGAAAAAAGGATTCACTCAGAACGCGCGTTCTGGAACGCGAGTTTTTAAAACGCGCGTTCTGAACGCCCAAACGTACCGAACGAACATGCTAAGAAATAACCATAGATTATGCCATGATCGTTCAATTATCTGGGTAAATTATAATATTTCACGTTCACCTGAATAGTTCGGCCCTTTGGGGATGATTTCCCACAATCTAACCATGATTCCAGTGAGAGAGAACAGTGAGGTCGTTATAATTTACCCAGATATAATACAATGATACCCCCATGACATGGCAACGATCATCAACCAACAAAACATTTTTTCATGTTTAAATAGCCCCTAAAATATCAACTAGGGGGGGGTACTCCAATGGTCATTTCATCTGATACTTGAAATTAAACAGCCTAGAGGTTTATTAATCCAGGACTTACATTATCCAAAAATGGATAAGAACTGGGGGTACCCCCATGACTTTTTATGGTACCCTCCCAATAAAAAACAGCCGTAAACGGGGTCGACATTGCTTGAGACGTCCCAACGGTCTCAATGAGACTTCGCAGCTAAGGATGAACAGCCATTGAACAGCCATAATGTCCTTTTGGTCAAAATAGGTAGACGGGCCGGGAGCTGGTTAATCCCATCTATCATCAAACTTACATGTTAAAGGGGTAGTTTCTGAAGAAACCCCTCTATGAATTCATCAACCAACCAATGGGAATTTGGGACATCTATGCATTGAACAGCGTGCAAATTTCACTGGCCACTTTGAGTGTTCAAATGGGTATGGGTCAAAATTAGGTACCCCAATAATTGGATGGTTAATACTAAACTAGACTAACATCTGTGGTCTCCTAGGTCTTCCATTTTGACCCACATCCAAATCTTCTCATGTTTGGTAATGTCAATGTTGGATGAACAAATGCTAATGATCAACTGGGGGGGTTCTGCTCGAAATAGTTGTCAACTGCTATTAACATTGGTACAAGCTGGTGCCCCCCCAGTGATGTTTGTTGGTTTATAAACCCCATTAACTATAGACATATCTACCATAAACCATAGTTATTGGAGTTATGTTCACCAACTTAGCTAACTATGGGGCACCACTTTGTACAGTACCCCGAAGTTGCGTAAACCGACGGGGTATTATGCTGGATTGGCAGTGATGTTTGGATTCAATCAGGATCTAAACATCACAAGGTGGTGCCCCCCGTAAACGAGAACGCTAAGTTGGTGAACATAACTCCAATTTCACTATGGTTTTTGTTGGTGATATATCTATAGTATTCATGGGCTTATAACCAATTTATACCTGTGGGGGGCACCACCTTGTATGGATCCAAATATTATAAATACTTTCTGAGAAGGGGCTCACCCCACAAATCACACCCCAAATGCTTCCTCAGAAAGTACTTGTATCCAAAAGGGTTCAATGACTATTGTAATTTAAAAGTATTAAACATCTTTTAAACAACTTCAAGTCTTGGATTACTACTATAAACCATCGCCCAAATCACCATTTTTATATAGGTGGTATGGTTACCATTTCCAAATGGGTGTTTCATGACATTGTTTTACCCACATTAGCCATTATTAACACCAATAAGCACTATTAATTAACCACTATTAACACCACCACTATTATCATTGAACATTATTGTGACTACTATTATTAGAGGCTACTATTATTAAAACCACTACACTACTTATTAGAACCACTACTATTCTTACTACTATTCACACCACTACTATGGAAATTGGCCCCACATCTGCCACTGAAAAACCTCCGCTCTTGGCCGCCCGAAAGAGGATCTCGAAGTCCAGAGAACCGCCTGTCTTCGAAGTCGGCACGGATGTGCTGAACCCAGTTGTGGGTAAAACAGTGTCATGTTTACCACCCATGACTGTAAAAATGATAATAGTAGTGGTGTTAATAGTGGTTAATTAATAGTGCTTATTGGTGTTAATAGTGGTTAATGTTAGTAAAACAATGTCATGAAACACCCATTTGGAAATGGCAACCATACCACCTCTTAAAAAATGTGATTTGGAGGATGGTTTGTAAAGGAAAATCCTACTAACATGGATGATTTCGGGGTACCCCTATTCTAGAAAATCACTATATCTACAATGTACAATGTCTACAAATCTATCTACACATATTATCTAATTTTTAATAGCGAGAAACTAGGTTCTCTACAATAACTCATAAATGAACATATTTAGGTTAATATCCCGTATCTACAATATTATCCAAAACAACTCACTATCGCTTACATTTTCTCAGTATAAATGATCTCACCTTATTTCTTACCTACATGTGTATATTTCTATGCATCTATCCGGTATGAAGGAAGCCCCAGAAATAGCGCTGCAAGATGCTCAAGAAGACCCATTCATAGGCTTGATGGTGTTTAACACACACACAAAAAAACTTTTCGGTGGGTCATAATATCATGTGGATGGGCTTTAAATGGGCTTTATCCAACTTTATCCCAGAAAATGGATGTGTATGGGTCAGCGAAATCCTGCACCAGTTGAAAACGGTGGTAAGCATCCCATTTTTCATAGGGTTTCAACCAACCCTTTGGTGGTGGATTTCGAAACCACCCACCGTACGTTGGGCCTTCAATCGTACATGGTCCAGCAAAAAAAACCAGTATGGCGGGTCCCTTGGCAAACCATTCTGCTTGGTGGTTGGTGGTTTCAACCCCTCTGAAAAATATGAGTTCGTCAGTTGGGATGACAAACTTCCCATATATTATGGACAGTCATAAAATTCATGTTCCAAACCACCAACCAGCATTGGTATAGACGGATCATTTGGTATACCCTCTGGTAATTTCAGAGTTAGCTATGGAAATTCACCTTTTTTTTACAGGCACATCATGGCAAATCATCAAATGACTGGGCCATGCTCCATAGTAAATTTTGGTGAAAGACGTGGTCGTGCCTCTATTCAACGAGCGCCAGAACTAAAAGCTATAGATTGTATTATAATCTCAAAAATTACAACCAACATTTTTGTTTATTCTTCATCCCAATCAATTCAAGTATGACATGATTCTTGTGTTGTAAGTTGCAGCGGACAATTCTAGTTTCTGTATAGATCTGGGTATATTAGAATATTTCGCTAACCTGAATTCTTGGGCCATTTGGGAATGATTTCCCGAAAATAAACCATGATTCCAGGGCGGGGGAGAACAGGGTTCGGTCGAACCATGGCATTTACCCAGATAGATGAACAATGAAATCATTCACCGAAATATTGCTGGTTATATTCTTCCATGATATTCTCATTAATATCCCTACATATCCCTACTATCCCATGATGTAGCTGTGTTATGGGAGTCTGGGGCGTTTGGGGATGAGCTGGGAAGATCTTTTCAAAACTACTGCTGGTTTTTCAGAACTGCGTAGCCTCCAGAAACAAACCAAAGGTAAACCCGGTAAGCTCCTGTCAACTGGTAAATCACTAGCTGTTTTTTTTGCAAAATAAAACAGCAAACAGCCAGGTCCACTGGGTCCACTGGGTCCATTTCGATCGATCCGGAGATCCGCCTGCACTGAGAGAAAGGCTAATCAACTTCGGCATCTTTGAAGACTCGGGTGCCTTCTCTAAAACCTTGAAACTGGCCTCAGCTGAGAGCACTGATGTCCGATCATTTTGGCATTTTTTTTGCGAAACTGATGGTTGATACATCAAAAACCACATCAAAAACTGGAGCTAACGGCTAATACCTGCAAAAAAAGGTATCCTAAATTTCACTGGATCGATTTAAGAGAAATGCTGTGGGAAAGCATGGTCTTGACTACGAGAAGCAAAGGTTTCCTGCAAGTTTCCCGTTGCAGCCACGTTTCCGTTTCCATCATTGACAAACATGTTGCTAGCGGGCAAAACCAACCCTTGCAGCTGTTCATAGTCAACGATCGCTTTTCTACAGCGGGGGAAAAACAACGTACCACCAAATGATTTTTTCATGATTGAACCCGATGTTTTCATTGTCAAATCCCTGTTTTTTTATCAGGGCGAAATCTGAAAAGACCATCATTTTCGAGTGAAAAAATGCAACCATTATTCAATGGTTAAGTTAAATCCTCAATTTTCATGATTCAACCACTATTCAAATCCCAATTGCAGGCTAATCTCTTCCTCCTAATAGTAAATACCACCAACAAACATCCAAACACCATGGTTTAGCGAGGGATTTGCCAAAGCGGCGGTGTTTAATATACCTACAACCCCCCAAACAGTGGTTTAAACATGGGACATGTGAAAAAATGTGGTATACCATCCCACCAACATCCAGAACGCATTTCAATATCACAATCCAATAAATATTCCATTGGTATTCCATAACTCTAATATTCCATCAAGACGGAAGTGGCACAAACGTACGGAGTTGTCGTTGCTTGAAACTTGGTCGGCGGTAGGGATCTGGATCGTGATCCTCCGAGTCCACTGCAGGTTCAAAGAATGGTACATATCCTGCGATGCTATTCAAATGCGTCAGGGCCCAGCCAGGTGGTAGTGAATCTCACGGCCGTGAGAGTTATCCATTTCTTGTCACAGGCGTTACAGGTGCAAGACTTAGGGGGCGAGTTTGAGCCCACTAGTTGTCAAGACCATTTATATCAGTAGTGCCGCACAAGGCGGTGGCTAGACAACTATAGGAGAGGTTAGTTGCTGTGATGCATGGATGCATGGATGGCACAGAGAATCCACTGATGGACCGAAAGCTGGTTGGAGTTGGTTTTTTTTGGAGTGGTTGCGGTGGTCAATTCAGCCACAACTGCTGAATGTAGTGTGGCGTGGTTTGGCGTGATGCAGTGTAGAATACTTGTAGTGGTAGTGGTAGTTGTAGTTGTATTGTGGTTGTAGCTGTACCTGTAGTTGTAGCTGTAGTGTAGTTGAGGGTGAAGTTGAAGTTGTAGTTTGAAGCTTCAGTTGTAGTGTAGTGGTAGTGGTGGTGGTGGTAGCTGTAGTGTAGTTGCAGTTGCAGTTGTAGCTGTAGTTGTAGTTGTAGTTGTAGTGTAGTTGAAAGGCTGTAGTTGTAGTTGTAGCTGTAATGTAGTTGTAGTAGTCGTAATGTGAGCTGTAGTGTAATTGTAGTGTTAGTTGTACTTGTAGTTAAAAATTGTAGTTGTAGCGCATTTGAAGTTAAAGTTGTGGTTGTAGTTGTAACTGTAGTTGTAGTTGTAGTGGTAGTTGTACTTGTAATTGTAGTTGTAGCTGTAGTTGTAGTGTAGTGGTAGTGGTAGTCGTAGTTGAAGTTGTAGTTGCAATTTTCGTGTTTTTGCAGTGCAGTTGTAGTTGTAGTCTAAATGAAGTTGACGTTGTCCTTGTAGTTGTAGTTGTAGCAGTAGCAGTAGCAGCAGTAGCAGTAGCAGTAGCAGTAGCAGTAGCAGTAGCAGTAGCAGTAGCAGTAGCAGTAGCAGTAGCAGTAGTAGTAGTAGTAGTAGTAGTAGTAGTGGTAGTGGTAGTAGTAGTAGTAGTAGTAGTACTAGTAGTGGTAGTGGTAGTGGTAGTGGTAGTAGTAGAAGTAGAAGTAGAAGTAGAAGTAGAAGTAGAAGTAGAAGTAGTAGTAGTAGTAGTAGTAGTAGTAGTAGTAGTAGTAGTAGTAGTAGTAGTAGTAGTAGTAGTGGTAGTGGTAGTGGTAGTGGTGGTAGTTGTAGTAGTTGTAGTAGTTGTAGTAGTTGTAGTTGTTGTAGTTGTTGTAGTTGCTGTAGTTGTTGTAGTTGTTGTAGTTGTTGTAGTTGTTGTAGTTGTTGTAGTCGTAGTTGTAGTTGTAGTTGTAGTGTAGTTGAAAGGCTGTAGTTGTAGTTGTAGCTGTAATGTAGTTGTAGTAGTTGTAATGTGAGCTGTAGTGTAATTGTAGTGTTAGTTGTACTTGTAGTTAAAGTTGTAGTTGTAGTGCATTTGAAGTTAAAGTTGTGGTTGTAGTTGTAACTGTAGTTGAAGTTGTAGTGGCAGTGGTAGTCGTAGTTGAAGTTGTAGTTGCAATTGTCGTGTTTTTGCAATGCACTTGTAGTTGTAGTCTAAATGAAGTTGACGTTGTCCTTGTAGTTGTAGCAGTAGCAGTAGCAGTAGGAGTAGGAGTAGGAGTAGTAGTAGTAGCAGTAGTAGTAGTAGTAGTACTAGTAGTGCTAGTAGTGCTAGTAGTACTAGTAGTACTAGTAGTACTAGTAGTGGTAGTGGTGGTAGTAGTAGTAGTAGTTGTTGTTGTAGTTGTAGTTGCTGCAGTTGTTGCAGTTGTTGTAGTTGTTGTAGTTGTAGTTGTAGTTGTTGTTGTTGTCGTTTAGTTGTTGTTGTTGTTGTTGCTGTTGTTGTTGTTGTTGTGTCTTGTTGTGTCTTGTTGTGTCTTGTTGTGTCTTGTTGTGTCTTGTTGAACGTCAAAAAGTGGTCCGAACATATGGTGCTTTTCGCATTTTCACTTCCGAATGTGCTTCGCACCACGACGCCGTGCACTGTTTCTTCATCTCAACTTCCAAAAGTGCTCCGAGAATGGTGTGTTTTGCACATTTTGACTTCGAAATTTGCTTCGCGCCACAACGGCGTGCAATTTTGCATCTCTTATGTGGCCAGATGGCTCCGCACCTGGCCGCTTTAGCGAGCCTACTTTTCGACCCTCCGGAACCACAAATCATTGGAAAAACACAGTTTCGCCCTTTTCGCGCACCTGCATCTTTTTCTTCTGATTCTTTCTCTTCTCTGATCTTTTTCCTTTTTCTCTTCTCTGACTCTTCCCACCTCTGCTTTTCCATCTGTCCATATTGTCGGAAGTTTGACTTGTAAACTTCCTTCGATAACACCCGTAGAACTGGTGGAATCCCCGTATATCAACCGCTATTGAACACTAATAAGCATTTCTAGTGATTCTTGACCACTAGGTTCAAAGTTAGATGGTTAGTGGAATAACCATGATTAAATACTTTTAATTAACCATCTAGCAATATCAGGAACATTATGAACATATCATTTTTAGCATTACATTAAGATCTGCTAGCCATTCTTAACCATGATTAACCATTAGATATCAAACTATTAACCATTCTTAACCATGACTAACTATTACATAACCACTTAAACACTATTAAGCACAATTAAGCGCTATTAAAAACCACTAAACACTATTGTAAAACTATGTAAAACCATATTAAACACTTCTGCACCCCACGTCTGCCACGTCACGGATCCCAAGAGATCGTCGCCCGTCTCATCGCTGCTCAGCACCTCCATGGTGATCGAAGCGTCAGGGTTGGGCACCTGCGGCGATTCTGCGGGTATGACATGACCAATCTTTGGTAATGTCTGTTAATAATAGTGGTTAACAGTGGTTAATAGTGGTTATTGGTAAAATGGTTAATGTTAAAAACTAGTGTTAATTAACAATCTTTGATTAATAATAGTAGTGTTGTTAAAACCAGTGTGAATAGTGGTTAATAGTGGTTATTGGTGATAGATAGGGGTTTTAATAATGGTAAACCAACATAACTATGGACATCTACATGTTTACCAGGTAAATCAGTAGCTACGTTAGTTTACCTGATGGTAATGTCAACCCCGGATGAATAAACCATCGTCTGTTAATGAACCATGATCCATGAATTAGGGGGGTACTCCCCCAATAGTCACAATAATTCACAATATGATACTTGAATGGTAGCCCCCCAATGAAAAGCAACCGTTTGGGGTTTATTAATCCACGGCTGACATTAGTCCACAAAAAATGTCATCTTGTGCTGGTGATTTCAATTGATTTTCATATATTTTACTATCTATCCAAGGTTGGGGATGGAAAACCTGGGGTTTTCACATGGTTTCACGAGGAACATTTAATACATTTTAGCGGAGATGTGAGGTAAGATAAGGATAGTTGAACACCAAACATAAGGATTCCCCAGCCCATCACCAAGCCCACCATCGCAACTTCCAATGTTGTGGCTCTTGATGACAAGGCAAGGGCTGTCCATGCTTACGCACAAGCAAGCATCTCGGCGCCAATGCAGGGACAAAAACACCATAAGGCCATAAGGTCAATCAGTCCCGGTGCCGCTGAAACGTGACATGCGCTTCTCTTCTCATCACGGTCAACAAGTACCAGCCTCCCTCTATAAAGCTGTTGTTGAGAGTAACTTGGAGTATGCGGTTAACAAAAGTTCAAACTGTATCTGCACTCATATGCGTGTGTTTGGATGATTTTAATGAAATGGTGGTTTCTTCTCCACGCAACCTGCATGGGAACAAATTCACTTTACGACTGGGTGCTGTTGCAGCTCTTTCGCTGTGATTCTTCTACATAGTTGTCAGTTGTCAATCTGTTTTTGGTCAAGCCTGCAGAGGTGTGCGTATATGTGTGTTTCTGGCGGCTCCCAGATCTTTAGTCGTCCAAGTCATTCCAGGTCAAAATAATTCAAGTCTGTGTGTCAGCCTGGCTGAGTTTTCCCAGATGACATGGTCTAAAGATGTAGGGGTAAACCATGCCGCAAATCTATGTTATTTGGTTCCTGGGGTGGAAACACATGGAGGAATACGCATGTCATTTGTCGAGCAAACTACCCCAAAGTACTCATGTCACTAGACCCGGTTGCAATCATCACTGTGCTTTCTGCGATTAAATAAACATTCTTTATTGTTCAATGCACATTTTTGCTGGATTAATCACCCTTTGCCATGGTCCAATCCCAATACTTCATGGTGAAATCAGCATGTTAGGCAAATATATTTTTCAATTATATCATATTATCATATATCCGTTGATAGTCCCATAGTCATCTACAATTCATGCTTGCTCCCCGCAGCACCCTGTTTTCATATTTGTATCTCTACTTTTGATGCTAAAATCTCAACCTTGATGCCAAACAATGATATTTGATGGTCACGTTCCATGTGTTTGATGTTTTTTGTTCATCTTATTTTCTTCATGGTTATTTTTCCGCGATTCCTCAATAAAGTCACTGTCACTCCGTGTTTGGGTTTGTCCGGAAATAGAATACCCCTCAACCCACTGGTTTCTCATCACTTTCACTATTTAAATTGCCATTTTGGGGCACCCCAGTTTCAGACACACCCAAGTAATTGGTGAATCGCTATTGATAATTCATCCTTGCTATCATGATAATCCCCCTCTCAATGGGTAAATCCCATGCTCAATAGGCCCATTGTATCTTGAATGTTGGCGCCATTTCCTTTGTTCATGGGTTAAATCGCAACTCTTGATGATCCAACATGTTTTTTTCGTTGTTGCTGGCTAAACCACCATCCTTGCCAAATTTTGATGATTAAACCACCAAGTTGTTCAAATTTGGTGTGGTTAAACCACGCTTAGTTCACCACGGGTCTACTATATTCTACTATTTCTTAATGGTTCGGAATTGCAAAGCCATATTTCACCATGTTTGTTGCTTAAAAACTCACTTTTTCCAGTTTTGATGCTTAAAAATGCTTAAAAACCATGGTTAAAGCACCGCTTGTCACCATTTTCGCCGATCAAACGTAATTTATGCCGGCAGAAGTGCCATGTTTCACCTCTTTCTGTTGTACCGCAGCCATCCCCCGCTGCGCCTCAAAGACGAAGGGCGTGCCGTCCCAGCGCGGTGCGACGCCCGCGGCCGTCTCAGTGCGTTGCGCGGCGGCGCCGGCGCCGGACGCGCCGCCCAGGCGGGCGCGGACGAAGGGCGCCGCGCCATCCTTCGGCAGCGCCTTCCTGGGGAGCCATGGTAAATCCATGGTTAATAAACGGTTAGTAAATGGTTAATCCATGTTAAACAGTCTATGATTTATATAGTATAACTATTGAACCCTCTGGTAAACATACAAAAAGCTATTGAAAATGGCCATGTATAGTGAGTTTTCCCATTGAAAATGGGGATTTTCCATAGTTATGTTAGTTTACCAGAAGGTATGGTTTATATAGTAAAACTATTGAGTATCTATTTAAATAACCGTGGTGGCTTAATTCATTCTCCATGGAAATGGGTGTAAGCATATTATCTATAAATGGGTAGTTGTTAACTAATAAATATAGCAATATGGTTAGAAACCATGGGTATATAATGGTTAAAGAACTTTTTTCTATGGTTTATACCTCCAATAGTGGTTGTTAATGGGAACATTCATCTATCAATGGCGGTATGGCATACTGTTAATTATGGATTGTTGTAATAATCTAGTATGATGGTTGTTACCACATAAATTAGCAGTTTGACCCTGCCAGATGGGGGGTGGGAGATGAGTTTCCACTAAGACTTGGCTATTTTCAGGCTCTATGTTAACTTACCAGAAGGTATATGTTGTTATATTGGGATATTCGGGATAATTTAGATGAGGCTTCAAAAATTGGGGATAATCTTGGATGGAAACATTTGGATGAATGTGGGTCCCCCAGGTATCAAATCTTGACCCGAACCCATGTGTTTCTACTTCATATTAGTATATTTGACAATGAAATGCTGTAACTGTCCCAGGGTCAGAATTGAGACCTCGAAACCCAAAAATTGGCACCGTGCTTTTTGTTGAGCTTCCAGGTACCTATCCTATAAATCTACGAAGCACCTTTTTGCCATTTGATTAAGCCCTTTCGTATCGCTTAATGGAGTGTACGAGAAACAGGTTCGCTGAACGAAGGGTTGCTCAGATGGCATCATGTAGCTCTTTTGCTCATCTTCCGTTTTGCAAGAGAAATGCACGGTTGAAACCCTGAGCTTAACAGTTTTCTGACATCAAATCATATGGTCAAACCTCTAAGTTTCCGTAGAGATGTCCATGATGTCCACCTTCAATGCACCAAGCACAAACCTTTTTTTTAGCAGAAATTTTATGGGAAACCATGGTGGATTTCATGGGGGCAACACATAGCCTCTTTGGAGGATAGCAACCCGTAAAAACTGGGTAACCTGCTACCCTACTGCTAGGACCTTACTAATATCGATGGGCAGTAACGTTTTCTGAGCAGCACAATCATCATCTATGGGGGTTGTTGGGAAGAATGACGCTGTTCATAAATCAGAGCAGAATCTATCCAAACAGGGACAGAGGCACATACACCATAATTGGGTCAAACCTGTTTCAACCCTCAAAAATTGGGTGGATCAATTCCAAGAACTTCTGTCAATCTATTCCCATGGCTATGGATCGAAATGCTTGACCCAAATATTGGATGTCGCTTTAGTACCAAATCAGCAACGATCTGTGGGTCCATTGGTCGATTGATGCGCCCATGATCTCCTTACCATTCTTTTCACCCATTGAATGATAACATTTGTTGTTACTCTGTGGTAATTGAAGCTGGCAATTGGGAAAAGAAAAACTTTGTTTTTATCCATTTATGAAAATGAATGATCACCCATATGTTCTTTTGAGGAACGTGGACTTTCCATTCCCCGTGCGCATCCAAAGCTTTTCAGGAAGGAACCACAACATTTCCTCATGTGGGCATATTGGGATAATCAGTTTAATCCTTGTTTCCATTGCATTGAGGGTCCCGAACTTTCCCTTCAGGTCCAAAATTTCTTGGTTTCTATGAACATAAGGTAAAACTTGGCAATCGACAATGGAATTGCCCAAAATGTTGAGAACCATATTTTTCGCACCAAACCCAATGTGGCTATTTTGTGGTACTGTCAGGTATCAACCCTTCAACTAAACCCAGGCACGCTGACACGATGCGAAGGTATAAGGCACCGATGCAACCCCTGGATGCCTGGGTTTTCAGCGTTCAGGATGCGTATCTGTCGGGAAGAACTGGAGAACAAACTGTTTACCCTCTGGGAATCAAACATCTCTACCTTCAAAGCCATATATACATGCATATATATATATACATATATACGGCAAATTCCTGGGCTTTGCCTGCATCAGCAGGACGACGGTAGATTTATCTTCATTAAGGGGGCTGGAATTGAATTTCTTCTTCATTGTCCCACTTGAATGTAAAGTGTAACGGGGGTGGGAATTAAGATTCTTTTTCGTCTTCCCACTTGAAAGTAAAGTTTACCAGGGGTGGGAATCCAAATCCTTCGCCATCTTTTCAGTTGAACGCTCTTCATCTTCCCCGCTGGATGTAAGTTGAATAATGGAAAAGGGGATTGGGATGGGAAGGAATCACATTGCAACGCCCAAGCACGGCCCAAGCTTTGCGCTAATATATGTGTATAAACAACAAATGTATACTTGTATATACGTATAAATAAATAAATATAAATATATAGATATATATTTTTATATTCATACACAAATATACATCAATAGATACACACACACATATATATACACAAAAAGATACATATATATATATATATATACATATATATATATATACAAATAGATACATAAATACAAAGTAAATTAAAACATATATATACATATACAGTATCATATACAGATATATAATATCAAAGCCTCCTCAATTTCCCCGAGAACGGAATGTTTGGATGAGTTGGATGTGGGGGTCTTGGGGCACTCAAAGGCCACCAATATCGCTGTAGCTACACACTCTTCCTGGCAATCCCGGGAAATGTTGGGTTGATCATGACCATTTTGTTCTCGCAACCAAAATGGAAGTTTTGGCTGTCTAACCGCATTTGGTCGCGAGTTGTGGCTGCTTCAGATGCGGTGCAGGAAGCCCACCGAGAAGGGTCCTGTTTCTATGGGGGTCTCCAGCTCCTAGGCCAAGAGAAGCCTTCGTTGCTGACATTTCAACTTCGTTGTTTGGTAGTTTGATTGGTTTGACCCAGGTTCACGGAAGATTGCACAACTGGAAATGCTGATGATAGTTCATCCCCAATCCAACGTTGGTTCATCGACGATTTGGCCGAATTGACGTGCCCCTTATCAGAGGTCGTAGTGATGCAGCTGACCTGGAATGCATTGTCCAATTATAAATGACGTTTCGTTGGACCAAAAAAACCTACAATAGTGGATTCCAGTGCCATGTTTGATTGGAGGGTGGTAGATATGGTTGTGAGCCAAAACCGTCCTACCCTGGTAAATCCTAAGATAGCTACTTAAATGGACATAAATGGACGTTCACCCCCTCAAATATACCAACAATAGGATGCGACCCATCCCAATTGCGTATCTATTTGCAATTTTTGATAATTACCCTCTGGTTATTTAACATAGCAATGGAAAATCACCATGCTATTAATAGGTAAACCATCTATTTCTATGGGCCATGGCTTCCATGGCCATGTTAAATAACCAGAGGGTAATTATTATATTATATCTGGGTAATTATAATATTTCACCAACCTGAATTAAGGCCATTTGGGGATGATTTCCCTTATTAACCATGATTTCCAGTGAGGTCGCCGTGAGGTCGCCGTGAGGTCGTTATAATTTAACCAGATATAATTTACCATTATAACCCCCATTAACTATAGTTATATCTACCATAAACCATAGTTAAGCCACTTATAAACCAACTTAGCCATCTTGGGGGCACCATCCTATATTGTATTATATGATATAAAGAGACCCGTTGATCTTGGGGAGCGGACCTAGGTGCCCCTGATTTTTTTCCGCTATAATTTGCTGGGGCACAGCCCCGAAAAAACACCACCCCTGCCATCATAAAATCAAAGTGGCCAACCGTAAACAGGGATGCACATAGCTATAACATCTAAATTTTGTTTGGTTTCCAAAAAAAAACTGCAAAACGCGTAAAAAAAGGCACAATTTCAGGAACTTCGGCTAATTAATACAGTAAAGAATGAATCCCAAAGCTCACCGTAATAAACTCAAATCTTGGTTTACCTCAGTTTGATGGCACTTCTCCCTCAGTTTATGAGCCATGTTTTTTTGATGTTTTTTGGTGCCAGCCACCCTGATTTTATAGCAGAAATGATGGGAACACTAAATTTACAAATCCCAATCGCCTATTAATGGCTATTTGGAAGGATCGTCGCAACAGTTCATTCAATCTAGAGAAGGAATTATTGGAAAAAAAGCCAAGGGACTCAAACAAGGATCAAACAATTTTGGGCATCAATTGTGGCACATGTTTGCCCCACGTTTGAAATCAAACGTGAATTAGGGTGCATTCATATACATGCCTCTAACATACCGCAAACATCTTCAAACCTTCCATATAGTGAAACACAGTGCGATTCCAAAATGGAAAACCATGGTTTGACAAGTGCCCCCAAGTATAGCCAGCGGATCAAGTGTAATTATATACCCTGCCCTTCCAAAACCGAGAAATTTCCGGGTAAAACGGATTTTGCCCTTTCACTGCAGATTGTAGCTGGCTATAGATCCATGAGGTATGTTGAAGTAGTGGGCCGATATGTTTGGCTCTTTCGACGGGACTGCCTGATCTTCATGGTCCGACTTCTCCGCGCATCCATGCCATAAAGAAGTGTGAAAAATATGAGCACAGTTAGGTGGCTCGAACCCGTGTTTCAAAACATTGGTTATCACGGGTAAATCACGGGTTGTAGAAAATCCCGGTTTTGTACAGAAACTGCCCCGAACCAGGGTTTTGGGTGCAAAATCACGGTTATACCAGGGGTAAATCACGGTTACAACACGGGTAAATCACGGGTTTGCTTGGAAGCAATCCCCACCCGAGATTTACCTGAAAAAATGAAAAAAATGCGGTCAGCCAATTAAATGTTATCATTTCCGGTGGAGTCTACAAACATAAGCCGACGATGTCAAAACCGAGGTTTACTCACAAACCCGACAAATTTCCATGGTTTGGAGGTATAGGGTATATATATATATAGAGAGAGAGGGAGAGTCCCTGATTCAACATTGGCAAGTTTATGTTGCCTTTCCACACCTTGGAATTGGGATGGATTGGGCGTCATTGGAGCATCGGCTACTTGTTGAATGTATTCGGTATCAATATGAAGCCCATTCTCTATAAAATCAAAAAGTGCCCGGAACTGGAATCTGTAAACTTGTTTTCGCCCCACCTTCCCTAGACCTGAATTAGGTTGCTCTCAGCCATGCCTCAAGCATGCCTCAAACACCCCGCAAACATTCTCAAACTTTCCATATAGTGAAACACAGTGAGACTCCAATATAGAAAACTCAGGTTTGAAGCGACCCTAAGTATAGACTATAGACATTTGTTCATTTTTTTGATTTCTAGATGTTTTGATTCAACATGCTGCATGTGTTGATTGCCTTCCCACCTCTTGGAATTGGGAACTGGAATCACTCCTCCAATCACTGGAATCCCAAAATCGATCCACTACATCTATAACCAGCCTCCTCCAATCTGCAGTTATAGCCCTTTATCAGTTATAAGTACTTATAACCCCATTTATAGAATGTATCATCCCATTTATAACCAGTTATAACTCATAAATGGCCATAACTGTGTAGTCCCAGAATAGGTCCACTATAAAATCAAAACTCGTGCAAACTCGTCTTCCTTGTCCACAATGATCTATTCTATGAATTCAAAAATCTTCCAGCCCCCCTCCCAGGATGAAATTTTGACATACTTGTCCGCCACTTATTTTGGCCATAAAATCGTACTCGTAATCATTTTCTGTTGTACCGAACGCCCGCCACACTGATTTTATAGCAGCAATATCATCATCAGATGCAGCCTACAAAAATAAAACTAAAAGCAACATCATCCGTTTGTTATTCCAAACAAACCCTTTAATCAAATCAAAACCCACAGCCTCCTCAAAACGGGTATCCCAAAAATAGACCCATTATAAAATCAAAACCCATAGCGCCTCCTCCAATCTGTCATCCCAAGATAGATCCATTATAAAAACAAAAGTAATGCCTTTGCATGTCTCAAGTATCATTTACTTGCATCTCATATACATTGCCAATGCATGTGTACAACATATTGAATAATCTAACGCACGTAGGTCACGCATTGCTACCTTTGACCAATTTGTGTCCTACAAAGGAGTTCCGTTTGAATTAACGTTCGTTTGCAACCTCCACTTCTAGGTGCTTCGATCTGAACTTGCGCGACGCTACCCCCATTTGAAACATCTTTGACCAAGCTGTAAGGTACATCCTGCACCCACAAGGTGCCAAGCATGACATGAAGTAAGCAATCGCCGCAGAGTTGGAGCAAACACACTCTGCAAAGTTCCAAAACGGTTAGATGTGGGTTAAACAAACTGGAGGCCCAAGGCAACCTGGTTGGTGGTATACCTACCCCTCTGAAAAAGGATGATGACATTCACAATATATGGAAAAATGTTCCAAACCACCAACCAGCAACAGTGTTTGCTTATTTCAAGTTTTGATCATCCAAATTTTGGGCTCTTCCAATTCTGACCGTCTCCGTTTTTCGACATCCCCATCTCGAGTGTTTCCCCGCCTCTGCTCACATCTCTCACATATGTTCATTGCAGATTTTTAGCAGAGACATCTCCATGCCTACTCCAATGCTATTCCTGCTGTTATTATTGCTGTTCCTACTCTTGTGACCTTACCTGTAAGTTGTCTCCATCTAAAAAATGGGCAAATGATATTCTTCAACGTTGCAGTAGAACTATTTTAAAAATATTGAATTGAATGTGTGTAACTAGGCTCCTGTTCAATCGATAGAGCTGACCCAATTCTCCATTGTCTGGCTGAGATCTCCAAGTCCAACGTAGTTATTCGGTGCTCCTATGATCATTATTTTAGGATTGCGTTAGGCAAAAATCCAATTGGTGATGATTTCTCCACACATTACCATCAATGGTTAGATCGTCAATATCTAATTTTAACATGACACAACATGATCGATCTTCTTCGGTTCAACATCCTTACCTTAATAATGCCCCCCTTGATCATCCCACGGATCGTCCAGAAAATATCCCCGGTGCTTGTCCCGGATGCGTAACGGGTGACCGTGGGTAACGGGTCTCTCCGTCCAAGGTGGTGGGGCTAAATTGGTTTATATTTCTCATAAGTACAGGATGGGGAAAACCAGTGATGTGAACGTTGGTTTATAAACCATGGAACAACCCCCATGAACTAGTTCGTTAGATTTAATTGCCATAAACCATAGTTAAACCACTTATAAGGCAACTTAGGCTATGTTGGGGGCCCCATCCTGTAGGGTTTATGAAAGATATATCGACAAAAAATAACATATTTCAAAACAGCCAGGTGGAATTTAAAGCCAGGCGGTCCTGTGTGATTTTGCACCTTACTCCCAGTGTCCTAGTCCTAATCGTGTGGGATCCAGAAAACTAAGCCATTCCCAATTTTCAACACAAAAAAAATGATCCCAAAAATAGGGGCACACCATGGCACATCATTCTTTGAATCCACGTCAAATCATCAAACTTGAAAAAATGCATGTGCACAAATGATTTCCATCGGTCAGTTGCTTTACAATCATTGGGTTTACAGTTTTGGTTTCATAGTTGGGGATCCACTAAGAACTGTGTACTTGGGTTTGTTTGAAACCGTAGTACATGTCGGGGGTTTCAAACGATTATTGCCCTGTTTGTTTTGTAATCGTTGGGTTTGTTGTTGGGGATAAATTGTGACACTGTTGATCCCATAGTAAGGGATACCATGAGCTATCAGCCATCAATCATCAATGATCAGTGACCATACCCCCTCTAATGACTCCTCAGCCATCAGCAAACCACCAACCAACGGTCAATTGTCAAAACATATCAAAATTTCATGCAGTAACCGACCATAACCGACCATTTGGGTTTGTTTGAAATCACCCCAAATACACCTACCTTATTGAGTCTACTGCTACCTCATTACAAGGTGGTGCCAAGATAGCTCAGCTGGTCTACAATTCCAATGATTAGGGTTCATGGTATATATGTAAATATATCGACGGGGGGTATAGACTGACAAACATTGCTGGGGGCACCACCTTGTATCCAGTAGATGGGCTTAGACACCCAGTTGAACTTGCAAACGCTTATTACAATGTGGGGCTCCCAAACGACAGCTAAGTTGGTGAACATAACTCCAATAACTATGGTTTATTGTACTTGTAACTATAGTTAATGGTGTTTTTAAACCAACTTACAACTGGGGGAGCCACATTGTACAAAATGGTTGATCGACTATGATGGGATAATCAATCAATCAATTGACTGCCCAAACATCAAATAGTCGATTCAATTGCTTAATCAAGGCACCATCTTACCAACCATTACTACGTCATCAGTGGCACTAACCATCAGCATTGGAATGTTTTTGATGATGTTTCAGTAGAAACCCAAAGAAATCCTAATTTCCAGTTTCACTAGTTTAATCCATATTTTTGCTGGATAACCACTGTCCATCACATTTTGTCACAATATTTCATTAATTACTTGATTCAGCAAAATGTCGAATATCTAATATGTAAAATGGTTGGTATGGGTAATCCAGTATATGCCCACCAGTATGTTTAATATCCATGTATATTGAAATCTATTCTGGTTGATTCACAATATGGAAATCGAAAATGTATGTTTACAGTTGTTAAACATGCTTAAACATTATATATTATTCCATGATAGCCGTTTTGTGGTCCACAAGTGAAAACCGTTTCATAAACCCCATAAAGTCTAGATATATGTATCAGAAGTCATAATTATTTGAGTTTTAAATCAGTTGAGCTAGCGATTGGAGCTATAAATATGGATTACATCATGAAAAATCAGGATTAGTCAACTTTAAACACTATTTCAATTCCACATTAGCCATTATATTGCTCCATACCAACTCATCTAAACCTTGTAGCCTCAGGGATCCCCTCTCCAAAACCATCACCAACGCCACGCGGCTGCCAGCTCTGCGGCCGTTTCCAGATTCACCGCTGTGGACGCGCGCACCGGTGCGGAGAGACCCGTCAAGGCGTGCAGGGTCGCGGCGACCTCGGGTCCCAACTCGTAAATGATTTTCATCATATGGACTGAATGATATATCATCCCTGATTAGTTATATCAATCATGCCCTAGATGCCTTATACTTTTTTCTGTAAATAGTTGATGGGGATACATCCGGCTATATATACCGGTCAAACACATGCGCTGCTTTATACATGTTTGCCGGTTTGCCTTTGAAGAAGACGCCTTCTCACACAAATCGGTTCAAGGTAGTCATTCGGGATTATCTTCCCCGCCTGTCAACCCATCCACCGGTTTCGGCTTTTCATCGCAAAAAGAGCAAGGGCTAGCTTTGGATTGCACAAACAAAAACAACGCATAAAAAATGCCAAGTCACAGATGGATTGCTGGAAGCCAAGGCCTCTTGTCGGCCCAGGTCAAGTTTGTGGTGGAAAGTCGGGCATGGGCGTATTTGATGGGTACAGTTGATGGGTTTATTGGGTTGCAAGTAGCTGCCCACACTAGCCATGCAAAGGCCTGAGTCTAAGGTAGATGCATGCTGCCTTGCAGCGCCTATCGCTATATATAGCTCCCAACATGAATTTTCAAGCAAGGCTCCATGCTGCAGCAGCACCCAAAATTTGATATCAGAAAGTGAACAGGAACACCTACGGAATTGCCCCATGGCATCGCAGTTGCCCACCTAGAAAAAAAACTTCCGGCAATCAGCATGTGTTTTGAAAAGCCCTTGTTGGCAACCACGCTTTTCTTGTATGGGCAAAATTATGTTCCAAACCCACAACCATGAACAGCTATTTTCAGCCAATCGCTCCAAGGTTTCAACTTGAGGCATTTAACCTTTCTGACTTTGGCAAAAAATAGGGTAGCCCCAAATCCAGCTTCCTTACTATTTTTCCATTGCACGTTTGGGGCATCCCACTTTTGAAACCTGACATTGGTCAGTTGTGAGTGGACAATCATGCACCAAGGCATTTGTCAGAAAACGACTACAACTGTGCAGATACTCCGTCGTCACCATTATCTGGGGACTTTGACCGTTTATTCTACGGTGACCGACTCGTAGCGAAAGACACAGCAAAAATCACGGGAACCAAATGAGCAGAGTTCAAAACACGAAATGCCGTCCCTTTATACTAGCTCCTTTTTGTTGGGGTTCCTACAGTTATGGCCATTTATTAGTTATAACTGGTTATAAATGGGATTATACATTCTAATTTTAAATGGGGTTATAAGTACTTATAGCTGATAAAGGGCCAAAACTGTAGTTAATGGATTATGATAATCCCGGATAACTAGTCAGTGAGAAATTCAGGACCCTAAAATGGAGGTACGTTAGTACTATTTTCTGGCCATATTTTGTGGGGATCTTGTCTTACATTTACATTGCCCAAAAAATCGGTCTTTTTGTGGTAGGTAGCTTCAAGAAATCGGTTCCTGTTGCATGGCCGTTGAACTAGTCGAAGGACAAAGAAACAATTCTAAGATTGAGCCCAGCAAATGACTAGGATGTATTCCAGGCCAATTCCAGGCGCCAGAATTTTCACAACCTCGGGCATTCCATGAAGCCCTTAAGGCCAGGGAACTGAACCTGCCTTTTAGTTTCAACACAGCATCCTTGAGAATTGTTTTTTGAGAATTACCCTCTGGTTATTTAACATAGCCATGGTATAGATGGCCCATAGAAATAGATGATTTTCCCAGCTAGAAACCTCCATTTATAAGGGATTTTCCATGGCTATGTTAAATAAGCAGATGGTACCATGTACAATTGTTTCATAAAATACATTGGGCCTTAATTCCTTCGGTACCGACTGATGGCGCCATCAGCTTTCTCAAAATTGACAGAAACCTAAAATTGTGGGTGTCCACTTTCAGGGAAAACAGTCGATGGACTACAGTCAAACATGACAAGAATGGAACAATCTTTGTTTGCCTCCCACAGTTCGGAAGTGCTGAATAACATAGGCCACTCTGAAAATCATTCATAATAGAGAAACGTAATCTTCCACCCATCTTGTGGCCAGGTCTATATTAGTTGGGGGTACCACATTTTGTCCTAGAATGGAACCTATAAGCCACACCCAAAACAAGGGCTTCATGTTTGGGCATATCAAATTACCTACTATACATCGACATAATCCCTATGAGCAGCACGCTGTCAGAGTGCGCTTCTTCCATGAGGTGTTCATCAATTCATACCTGAGAATATTTTTGGGATTGGAAATTGACATTTTTAGCAAGAAACACAACACCTCCCAAAAAAATATTTGTTTATCGGCAAAACAACGACATGTTGCACATGAAGGATGTCATCAACAGGAAGGGCACAACTTCCGGAGGGCACACAGCCGTCTTCACATCACTTGGCTACGTAGCTACAAGGTGGCACAACCATTTTTATAACAGTAAAAGTTGTTTTCATACCACAATTAACTACCCATATATCTACCATAAATCCTAGTTACAAATCTACTTGCCTAGTTGCTTAAATCAAGTTAATCATGAGGCATCGCCTTGTAGTAAGGGGTACTGGCAAGTATCGCCTTGGTTGAAGCGAGAAACATCATCCCAATGACCATGTTCATAGTTTTTTTTGGGCCGTAAACGAAATCGCTAAGTTGGTGAACATAACTCCAACAATCGTGGTTTATGGTTTAAAAGTTTAGGATACTTCTAGCTATAGTTAATGGGGTTTATAAACCAGTTTATAACTAGGGAGCCCCACATTGCCACATTGTACCAGGGAACATATCGGAATTGCGAAGGGGACTGAAGCTAGTAACGTGGGACATGGAAGGAGGGACTGCACGATGACATAGTGCTGCTAACTGCAACCGAATAGACATACAGGGTAGGGCCCAGTTCGTTAGCTAAGTTGGTGAACATAAGTCCAAGAACTTGGGTTTATGGCGACGTACCTATAGTTAAAAGGATGTTATATATAAACTACAAACCAACATATAACTGGGGGGCACCACCCTGTACCCCTAACATGTAATTATGGATGAATCAATTCTCGTTGCATTATTGTCCTCCGCATATCAAATGAGCCATTCACATGCTGGGGGAAGGAATTCAACTACCTTTCGGTGATCAAGCATGGCTAAGCATGGCTAGGCAACAACAAACGACATGATGGTCATGCTGCCTGGTGTTTTCAAACCCTTGAAACATATTTGCCAGCCGAGACCGTCATCCCAAAATAAAAACTTATTTGAAACAACCAACTAGCAAAACACAAAACGCCAAATTAGTATCGTTGGTATGTGAAACATTTGACACAACCTACTATAAAAATGATTGGCATTGGAATCATTGGACCTTCAAATTAGTTTGAACAATCAGCAAACCAAGGACTACATCAGCAAACATGTTCGGTCAGGTCCTCCCATTGGTTGCCCTTCGTGGGACCCTGCCATTGGTCAACGTCTGTGAATGGTGAAATCAGAAAATTCTTCCAAGTCTTGATGGTTAATATGTTTCGAAATGCCCCAGATGCTCCATGTATGGAATATTTGCCCACATTTGGGCCATGTTGGGGGTAAATGTAGGTAAAAATTCCAGCACCATGGAGCATCTGGGTGTTTACTGAACCATGTAACATGTCAAACATGATAGTCAATAAACATCACCATTTTTTTGCCATTCAAACATGGTTAAACCCAGCAGTTTCCACCATGTCTTAGCAGCCCTGAGGCGTTATGCATGTGGAATCTTCACTGGGATGATTCGATCCCTTAGATTCGATCCCCCACTGCTTGGTGGTTGAGCCTACCCCTCTGAAAGTCATATGAGTCAGTCAGTTGGCAAAAAATGAAATTCCCAACTGAATGGACAAATAAAGTTCATGTTCCAAACCAACCAGCCCAAAAAGTGTCCTTCCTAGCGGTGGATCAAATGTTCATTTCACTTCATGTGGATCCCAAGTGGGAAATGGGATGATTCCTTGAAACGTGCGCCCTCAGAGTTGGTTGAAATAAAGTGTTCAAACCCCATTCACTATAGTTATATACACAAGGTGGTGCCCCCCCCAGTTATAAATTGGTTATAAGTCCATTAACTATAGATATATCACCTATAAACCATAGTGAAATTAGAGTTATAAACCAACTTAGCTATCTTGGGGGCACCACCTTGCACCATGATCTATAGCTATATCTATATCTACCAAGTTGGATTATTGACCCCATGATCTATAGTTTTATCTACCATCAACCTAAGTTCTTAAGGACTTATGTTCACAGCTCCTTTAAAAAAACCTACGAGGCACCCTGTAGATCCCATTGATCCCATGCCACGTGCCTCACGCCAGGTTTCGAACTCCAATAAGCGCACCTCAAAAATTGCCGCCGAAATGCGGGGAGAGATGTCCAGCTTTTCCAGTGCTTCTAAGGGTTTGATCCTACGACTTGATGGTACCCACCTGGATGGTGGTATACCAACCATTCTGAAAAATGTTCCAAACCACCAACCAGCCACTAATCGTAAGTGGCTTAAACAAAACAAACAGTGAATGAAGTCAAGACCCTACTGAGACAGGGGGTTTAGCCTACTTTTTGTAAGGTTTCAAGCAAGGTGATACAAGAGTTCATCCACTATCCAATAATTGGATGGTTTGGCCCCATAACTAGCTACAGTAAGTGAACAGAAGTCCAATAAGAGTTGGGTTGATTAGGGGGATATGACTATGTGAATAGTAAATGAACACAGACTTTTGTGACACTGACAACTGCTTTTTTCCTGTTAGCTCTTCCCTCAAACCAACCCATACTGAACACAGCAAATATCGCTATGATATCTCGGAAAAAACGGATCTCTACCAATGTGCTGCTGCAAAATGCCCCAGTCCTGGTGAAGTTGTGGGAAAACTCGTTCCCAAAAATCACCGACATTCACCAAACCCAGCAATGTCATTCTTCCTTCAATTCTTATCCATTCTATATAATTCTCCCGGGAAATCCCATGTGTGTTCATCAATATCCCACTCACATCCCATGAATTTCATCCTTTTTCCCTCATTTCGTCGTTTCGCCGCCCCCTCCCATCGCATCTTCGCTGCGTCCAAGAAACGCAGAGCTGGGTGATTCTCGCGCGATGCTTCGGCCTCCGATCATGAAAGTCTGCCAGGAACCTGAGAGAAACAAATCAGTGCGGTGCCGGAAACAAATTGGTGCCAGGGCTTCGGTCAAGCCATAGAAATCTTCAAGGTGTGAAAAGGTCTTATGGGATTTAACCAAAAAGGGATTGGACTTTAATGGGGTTTAATATGACTTAATACATTACTGTACATGAGCTTTATGTGGGTCTTAAGATCCACATTTGGACACGTTTTTGTGCCACAGATTGTCTTGAAATCTTTGAATAGATGGCAATTGAAGACATGTTGAGGAAACTCAGCACCAAAGCGACATGAAGAAGTAAGATACCATCTGGTAATTTAACATAGCTAATGAAAATGGCCATAGAAATAGTGGATTTACCCATTAAAAAGGGTGATTTTCCAGTTCGTTATGTAAACATTTACCAGAGGGTAAGCAAGTGGAAAGATTTGCAGATTGGCAACAGCCTTGCCAATCTGCAGGCGTTGATCTGATCGCTCGAAGGTAAAAATTGGCTGTTGCAAGGACAAAACGTTCTTGGAAGAAGTTCTTGGCAATCCCATTCTGTAAGAGGAACCCAAACATCACATCGTTAAAAAACCTCAAACACACACATATATATATATATGATTATATGTATATATATATATATACAAATGCTAGCCCCCTAAAACCTATCTTTTTGACATTTTGACTGGTATTTACGGTGTTTTTGGTTTATAATTAACACATAGCCCTATATGTTGAATTGATTTTCAGGCTCTTTGACACTTGTCTCTGATGATGTTTCAGATATGTGTAGATGCGAGGCTATTTCTGCCTGGTATTTGCTGTATTTTTGAACATTACATTGTGATCTTTGGTATATGTATATATATATATATATATCAATATAAATAACTATATACATAATGCATATAATAGAAAAAAACCGACAAAAAAACCAAAACATGACTAAAATAATCAAAAAACTAAATACGCAAATAAATAAATAGACTAAAAATATACAGTTAAATAAAAAAAAAACTATACGTGAGAAAAATACACAGTGGATCACAGTCAGACAATGGCTGTGACAGTAGAAGGTGAAGCCCCGCAGCCATAAGTTGGTTTATAAACCCCTTTAACTATACAATGTGGGCCCCCCCAGTGATGTGAACGTTGGTTTATAAAGCACAGTAACTAGTGTTATTTGCGTATCATAAACCATAGTGAAATTGGAGTTATAAACCAACTTAGCTATCTTGGGGGCCTCACATTGTATAGATGTTTCTACGGGTGAAAAACAACAGTTTTTGGAGGTATCATGACTTATCAAGAAATTTAGCGAACTATGGGGAACCACCTTGTATGAATCTATCCACCCAACAGACTTTGATTTCATTCGACGTGATTCAGAATCAACCGTGGGAAAATGAAAGCAATGTACAACCTGAAGTAAAACATTATATTCTAACCATCTTCTGTCGTAGTTTTGGTCACGTCTACTTTAAAAAATGCCGAGGTGAATCCTATGAAAAACTATATATATATATATATTTTTTTTTGGGGGGGGGATCATGGACTTTACAGATATGTACCAATGTTCATCAAAAACCATCAAAAACGTAGTAGTAGTAGTAGTAGTAGTAGTGGTAGTGGTAGTAGTGGTAGTGGTAGTAGTAGTAGTAGTAATAGTAGTAGGAGAAGCGGTAGCAGTCAGAGTAGGACGTGGGGCATGGTCTCGGCAAATGAGAATAATTGCAAAAATAGGTATCGGTTGGTATCCGTTGGGCTATCGGTGAGAATGGTGCGTGAATTGCCGCAACCAATATGCTTGGTGCTCAGGTAGCTGTTTACAGCCCTGTTTGTGGCCGTTGCTGTAGAAAAAACGCCCTACTCCAGATTATTGTGGGAACGTGTTAGAATCTAGGGGTATCGGTGCTGGGTCGTCCCCTATCGGTTGTGAAGGTTTCATGAAGGCAAGCAAAGTTCAAGGCAGCTCTCTACTACTTTCAAATGCTAATCATTTTGTCGGATACTCATGCGAGTACCATGTTCAATAAGTAAATCATCGAAATACATGGGCATTTTCCATAGCAAACTGTTAGTCATTACCAGAGAGTACATCAATACACCACCGCTTAAAATCCACATGAGCTATGAACAATACGCTCATTCCATCCCATTATGCTGGTAGGTTCGTGAAGATTCCCACTACAAGGTGGTGCCCACCCAGTTATAAATTGGTTATAAGCCCATTAACTATAGATATATATCACCTATAAACAAAAGTGAAATTGGAGTTATAAACCAACTTAGCTATCTTGGGGGCACCACATTGTACAGTATAATTTATTTCACAATCCCCACTAAGCAAGGTAGCATAATTCCCATTTCAAAACCAATCAACAGCAGATTTCCAATAACCTGGGACTTGTACTAGCTAATTTGGTGGTGATTGCGAAACCCATGGTAGGGAATATCTACCAACTAAGTGGGCTATTTTGTTCATGGTTCACATGGGAAAGCAACCAGCCATCATTTACCACCAACTTATCCACATGTGTTTTCTCGATTTATGACCCCATATTGTTGACTATACACCCATTGACTACCGAATCGTTCCATGGAAAACCCAGCAACTCGAGGACACTTTCCTTTTCTTCCATCTTGGAGAGAACCTCGTCATCCTCCTGGCGCTAATGGTGACTGGCTGGGAAGTCTAGCAGAAATGGAAGAATGAAATTTTCCATGGAAAACTATGACCATATTTGGAACATATGGGAAAATAAAGATTTTTCAAATTGGAAAATCTGGGAAGACCCATGGTTTACCTAACTAGATGGTGCATCTTCATGGGATTTTCTCTATCTCTGAGTGTTTGATTACCAGTTATCGCAGGTGACCATGGAAAATCATCCACTTCAAATTCGCAGGTGGAGTCATAGAATTTGTTAAAGTACAATGTGGGGCCCCCGTTTACGATAGCTAAGTTGGTGAACATATTTCCAATAACTATGGTTTATGATACTTATATGGCCTTATAGCTATAGTATTCATGGGGGTTATAAACCAAATTATAGCGTTTGGGGGGCTCACATTGTACACATTTCCTCAGTTGCACATCCAAGATGTCAGGCCGACTTCGACAGCGCGACCGAATGACCAGTTCTTCAACAATTCAACAAGGTGGTGCTCGAGTTCGTTAGGTAGGGAAAATATCGCAGTAAAATGGCCAATTGTCTACCCTTGTGGCTATCATTTACTTATTAGTGGGCTGGAGCAAGCCTGTTTATAGCAGATGTATGTAGATGTATTTTGGTGTGAAAGCTTGGGCACCAGGTTCTTAACCGGCAGACATGACACCATCTACCCATCAGGTGGCCCAGCTTGTTTAGGTTTATGGTAGATATATCATTCTTGAACTAAATAATGGTGCTTAAAAAGCAAACAAGCATAACCACCAAATGCACCACTCCGCTCCAGAAGTGAAGCGGTCGCCGTCAGAGGTTGTTTTCTGTTCATGCAGTTTTTCCCCGTGGGCGTGGATCGAGACTCTGCCTTGGCCTGGAGCCGCAGTGTCCACAACTCAAGGTTCACTTCAATCCTCCGAAGAATGGGCAGCCAGCAGGTCCCTCATTGATGCGGACCAGGCAATCGTTCGGAATTGTCGAGGCGGTGCCAAGGTGTTGTACTTGATCATGTTGTTCCAAATGATTTTGGAGTCGTGTCACGTGTGAACACGTAGAAGTCCTGCTTTTTTCTCTTGTTCTTGCCGCCAATGTTTGGAGCAAAATCTGCAACATAGGGATCCAGAAAAGGTGATTTAAACTATAGTATATAAACTCACATTGCAGACCTGGGATACACTTATCATTGAACATATATTCACTGGTTGGTGGTTGAGCCACCCTTCTGAAAAATATGAGTTCGTCAGTTGGGATGATGATATTCCCAATATATATATATATATTTATGGAAAGTCATAAATTCATGTTCCAAACCACCAACCAAATATATATATATGTATACATACTAGATTAGTTGGTTACCATACTTGTAATGTCATAATCAATGGATTAACATGTTATACTGGTTGGTGGTTTTAACAATCTTGAAAAATCTTCGTCCTTTTATGGCAAGAGAACAACAGCAGCCGAGCCAACTCAGCGCCCGTCCTGCTCCGGGCTTTGGACAATCCACAGTACCTGCGGGCAGTGGCAGTGACCTCGTCATCGGATGATGCAATGTGCCCCACTTATCCAACAACTTACCGATCTTGTGGTCCACCACTGTCATGGTCATGATGATGATGATGATGATGATGATGGCACCATTTGAACACATCGGATCTTGTGATTGCAAGGGGACTCTCCACACCAGATGTCAGGAGGGTTACCCTCTGGTTATTTAACATAGCCATGGTATAGATGGCCCATTTATAGTGGATTTACCTATCCCATAGGATCCATGTATGGTATATATACTAACATTGGGGGTATATTGATGGTAAATGTTACCATATATAGCATACATGGATCCTATGGGTAATGTTTGCTAGAAATTTGGTGGTTGGGATAACAATGGGATTAATGATCATATTAATTATGGATACTATATGGATAATATATCTGGGTAACAAATGGTGATTTTTCATGGCGAACTGTGACAGTTTACGAGGCCGGGTATGAGGCTTGTCGCTTCGCGCAGCTTCGCGCACCGCGCGGTTGAAGACGGTAAAAGCCTCCCCGGCCGCATCCGTATCGCTCGCACAGAAACCTCAGCGGGCGGGTGGAAAAATCGACCGATGGAAATTGGGATTTCACCAAGAAACGCGGGGCGTTACCCTCTGGTAAACTAACATAGCTATTGAAAATTGCCGTTTATAGTGGATTTTCCAATAAAAATAGTGATTTTCCATAGCTATGTTAAATTACCAGAGGGTAAAGCAAACAAAATTGGGATTTCAGCTAACAAAGAGGAGGATTGAATCAAGGAACATGGGAATTTCAATGGCAAGTAGCTACTTGAATGGGGATTGATGGTGTAAACATGGAATTTCCACAAAAAAAATAAGGACTTCACACCTGAAAGGTACAGTTTATCAGAAAACACTATGGATTCAACGTGATGGAAATAACCGGCGCGCAGGAACGTGAGCCGAGCCACTGAAGTGATACCAAAATTTGGCTGCACAGTAAGTAACTAAACAGTTACTATAGCCATTTTCTAATTTATAAAGACTTCAAAAGACACTGCATGATTGTTGTTCAGTGGTTACAAGGTGGTGCCCCCCAGTTATAAATTGGTTATAAGCCTATTAACTATAGATATATCACCTATAAACCATCCCTCATCCATAGAGGTGTACCTGGAGTGCCGGGTTGAATATCATCAGTAGTCTGTGGCACCCTCGGCAATGGCAACAGTCTTACGTAATCGCACACCAGCTGGAGCTGAAAAATGGCGTCAGCCAAAGTTCTCAGTACCATATTGTGATCGTACAACCTGAATCGGGGTAAGACTCGATTTGCAAACTGCACCACCTCTCGCAACAGCTCGATGCTTGTGGGAATGCGAAGCTGCATTACTTGTAAGTGGGGATGATTATCCCAAATCGAGGTCGATTTCAGCTCTTTATTGGGATCAGGCGCAGGGATGATGACCAAATCGTGTAAAAATACTGGAAGGCATCCGGTGGTGACATACCTGTTTTTCTTGTAGCATGTACAAAGTACCTTTAAAACCAAGCCATTGATCCATTAAAATCCTACCAAATCTAGATGAACAAAAGATAGTACCCCCTGGTTATTTAACATAGCCATGGAAACTAGCCCATTTATAGACGTTTTTTGATGATTTACCTATTAAAAATGGTGATTCTCCACTTACTAAACGTTAAATCACCAGATGACCAGATGGTACTTTAGGGTTCTACCCGTACAATGTGGGGCCCCCTAATTATAAGTTGGTTTATAACCCAATCTAACTATAGTTATAACTACCATAAACCATAGTTATTATAGTTATTTGCACCAACTTAGCGATTTCGTAAACGGGGCCCCCACTTTGTGAGTTTAGTCAATAAATGATGCAAATGGATGGGATTTCATAAGCTTATTATGGCTTTACACTATCAATTGAGTGGGAATCCTTTCTGACCATTTATAGATGTTTTTCCCCACCTGCCAGGTGAGGGTTGTTAGATTTTATGTCAGTTGCCTCCTCCTCCTCCTCCTCCTGCTCCTCCTCCTCCTCCGCCTCCTCCTGCCTCGTCCTCCTCTCCTCCTCCTCCTCGTCCTCCTTGTCTCCTCCTCCTCGTCCTCCTTGTCATCCTTGTCGTCCTTGTCGTCCTCGTCGTCCTCGTCGTCCTTGCTCAACTGCGACCCGCGATCCACAGTGTTCTCTGCCGGACCTCAACCACGACCACCCACGCCCAGTGTTCCCTGCCGGACCTCAACCACGACCATCCACGCCCAGTGTTCCCTGCCGGACCTCAACCACGACCATCCCCGCCCAGTGTTCCCTGCCGGACCTCAACCACGACCATCCACGCCCAGTGTTCCCTGCCGGACCTCAACCGCGACCATCCCGCCCAGTGTTCCCTGCCGGACCTCAACCTCAACCGCGACCATCCGCGCCCAGTGTTCCCTGCCGGACCTCAACCGCGAGTATCCACGCCAAGTGTTCCCTGCCGGACCTCATGTAGGAAGATATGTCAGATAGAATGCCAGATAGAATGCCAGAAAGAATGCCAGATAGAATGCCAGAAGATATGTCAGATAGAATGCCCGAAGATATGCCAGATAGAATGCCAGAAGATTTGCCAGATAGAATGCCAGAAGATATGCCAGATAGAATGCCAGAAGATATGCCAGATAGAATGCCAGAAGATATGTCAGATAGAATGCCAGAAGATTTGCCAGATAGAATGCCAGAAAATATGCCAGAAGATATGACAGATAGATATGTCAGAAGATATGCCAGAAGATATGCCAGAAGATATGCCAGAAGATATGTCAGAATATATGCCAGAAGAATGCCAGATAGAATGCCAGAAGATATGTCAGAATATATGCCAGAAGATATGCCAGATAGAATGCCAGATAGAATACCAGAAGATATGTCAGATAGAATGCCAGAAGATATGCCAGATAGAATGCCAGAAGATTTGCCAGATAGAATGCCAGAAGATATGCCAGATAGAATGCCAAATAGAATGTCAGAAGGTATGTCAGATAGAATGCCAGAAGATATGCCAGATAGAATGCCAAATAGAATGTCAGAAGATATGTCAGATAGAATGCCAGAAGATATGCCAGAAGA